CCAGCCCGTGTGCGAGAAATCCCCCCTCAGCTCCAGCTCGGGGCCCTGCCGGGCATCGAGGCTCCCACCCAGCTCGGAGCACGGGCAGGAGCAGGTCTTGGGCTGCCAGCGGGTGGTCTGTTGCTGGCACAGCCCAGATGCAGCCTTTCTCCCACATGGGAGTCTTGGGCATTGCAAAACGTTCCTGAGTTGAAGCACAAAGCGTGGCAAACCAAGGTGGAGGAGGAACGTCTCTGCTGAGGGCCGATGCCTTTGCCGATCAGCGCTTCTGCGCCCTCCGCTTGCCTCGTGCCGGCAGTGTGCTCTTGGTTTTTGTTTGTTTTGGGTTTTTTAACTCCCAGCTGCTTTCAAGGGCCTCCAGCCTCTTCATAATAATGAAGAATGTGGGCACCTGTCGAACTAGCTTGCAGCAAGAAGGTGGAGACTGTCTAGTGATAGCTGCGAGCTCACCATGGATCACCACAAGTCTTCAGCAAATTTAAATTGGGGTCCTTGCACCACAATTTGAGATTTACTGATGCAGGGAGTAATTAGCAGCATGACGGAGTGTTTATTATTCAGAAACATGGCTTTTATTTTAGCTTCTCTCTTAAAATCAGTTGCTGAACTTCAGTTTCTCATCAAGGATTTTATGAGGAGACTAAAAATATTTATTGTTTTGGGTTTGTGTTTTCCTAACTTGGAACGTGGGGATTCCCTGTGCAGGCGTTGTGTTGTTCTTTCTGTTGTGTTATTTGCTAGTAGCTTTCTTTTTAATATTGATGATGAGTTGGCTCATCCAAAACCCTGAAGGACAAATCCTTTTGATTAACCCAGCTCTCTTCCTTACTAGCAAATCCCATCTGTGAATTTAAGTGTTAAATTCTGGAGGCTTTTGTCATCTGGTTGATAGCACGCAAAAAATCTGGAAATTGTGTGTGAGCGATATTCCACGGGTTTAAGGTCATCCATCCTTAAAAGCAGGGGTCTCGGTCTCCTTGTCTGCATTTGTACCGTGACTTCAGCGTGGCAGCATGTTTGTGCAGTTGTTGCCTTGTCGTTTTTAGGTTCATGTTGGAATCTCGTGCACGGATGACAGTGACCAAACCGTGTCAGCTTTGATGTGTCAAGGTGCAGGGGTGGCTGTGATGTTTACAGCTGTTCCGCCTTCTCTTTCAAATTCCATCGCACAGCAGCCTAGAGCTGCTTGTTAGGAAATGGTGATCCTCCAGTTTAGGTGAAATGACCTTGTTACTTTACTGCTCCCCAGCTATCCTCTGTGTTGCAGTAAATCATGGGTGAGCACAATACCTTTCTGGTTACGGTATATTTTTGATCCCAACACCATTGCTGTGTTTTGTGCAGTCACTAATATGAGCGTATGCACATTGTCATAAAGAAATGTAAAGCAATAAGTGGTTTATATTCTGTTTAGAATTAGTGGAGACAAAGGGAAGCGTTGTGGTTAGTAGTCTAGATTATAATACAGAGTATTAATATACTTTCTAAAGTAACATTTGAAGTATTTGCTGCATTTTAAAAGCACCTGCGGTGTTTATTACATACACAACAAAGACCTTTGTGGTTCTTGTTTTCTTTCAAACTCTCCCTCCTATGACATCTGTTTCAACAGTTTAAAGAATCCAAATCAGAGTGGGAGGCGCTGTGACCGTGTTATTTTAGGTAACCCAGGCGGTGGGGAGTGCGAACAGGCAGCGCCGAGTGGAGGGGGTGACTCGCGGGGCGCTAACTGCGGGGTCACCCCTCG